ATGTATTTATTAATCTCTCTTTTTTATTAAACTTATTTGATTCTTCCTTTCACATTTCAAAATTCAGGTTGATTTCAAATAAAACTCACCCATTTTTTATGATTTATTTTTAAAATTTGTATTTTTAAATAATTTTATAAATTTTTCAAAAAACTTTTGAATTATAATCTATAAAATTGTTACCATGATCTTAAAGTAGACGTATATCTAAGCATACCTGCAAAAAATTACAGTTTTTTATTCAAGATTTCTGAAGATATACGTGAATTTATATATTGGCGTGTTTTGAAATTGTGCAAATTTGTTCAAAGCGATAAAACATCAAATGTGGTTTAGAAACTTAAGTTATTTGAATGTAGAAGCAATGTGACTTTTTCCATTCATGCACAATGTGAAAAGGTAAGAACAAAGTACCTTTTTTCCTGCTCCGGCATAATGGAAGGATATGGAAAATAATTGTCCATATATTAAGAAGTTCGCCAAGTGAATTATTCTTCGTGCAGACTGAGAAAAAACTGTGCCAAGATAAATTTTTGATTTTCTCCATAAATTTTGCACCAAATTTTACAAAATTTGGTATTTAGGCATAATTTGCTCATAGAATCGAAATATGGAAAACATTGGTATGTTATTTCAGAAAAAGCCCGATTTTGTTCAAAATACCTATGTTACAACAATGCTATATATAAATCTAATATATATCCTAAATTGCGCTTTTGAGACATGGAAAACGCAATTTGAATTTTGTCAATCGGCCCAGTAGAATTGGAGATATAGAACTGTCCCCCTGTTTTTTTAGCGCAGTGTACAAATAAGAGTTGAGCCTTTTTGAAACTGTGCCAAAAAAAAAGTGGTTATAGTTTGGCATAAATTTTGATGAAACTTTTGGATTTTGAAAGCAGACACAAATCTTCTGCAAAGGAGAGGGGATTCCGGGATGGGCACGTCTAAGTTTTTTTTTTTTTTTTTTTTTTTTTTGAGTGTATAATTTTTAAATTTACATTGGCATGTTTCACTTCTGGTCAGAGTGATGTTTAAGTTCATAATCTAGTGGTTAAATAAATTGGAGATTAAGGGTCCTATTCATGATAAGGACGTAAATAACGATTTTTTCTTAATGGACGACCGCTAAATTTTACATCTGCAATAACCATAAGGACTATTGGTTAAATTGGCATTTGTCATAATGACCGTCGGAGGGATCCTTACATTAAGTAACCTTCATTCGAGAGTTGGGGGAGGTTCGTTAAAATAAGCCAATCATATTACAGCTACTAGAGATACAGGCTGCTAGTCATCCATGTTCTAGCGTATGCCTCGTGTTGTAGCTACACTTTAGCGTTGTAATTCAGCTTTGGGTTGCCATCTTTGGCTCTTTAGCAGTGTTAGCTAAAACTTTATTATTTAACATTCTAGGGTATCCAAATTTCCGATTTTTTGCATTCATATAAAGATGTGTGGCTTTTGCCCGCCTTCTTTTCTCTGCAGTTCAGCTTCTTTCTTGTATTTTTTTTTTTAAACTGCCAAATTTCTCGTATGATTTAAGTTATTTTAAGTTTCTAAAACATTTTCATATATTATATTTCACATTTGTATATTAGTTAAAAATACTTTCTTTTTGAATTCCTTTATTGAATTTTCAATTTTTACTTTTAAATACACGCATAATGTTAAGCATCTCAAAATCTATTTTTTTTGACTATAGGTTTCTCGCAGCTGTATGCTTAATTTTTTATGAGGTTGTACTGGATTTCATAATCATACCTTCATATTCTATTTAACCTTTTTCTTTTAGAAATCAAGGTAATTTCATGTGTGATATAAAATAGTAGAAGTTCTCTTCAGTGTGCTCTATTTGTATGATAAATTGCTTAATTTCTCAGCTGTGGTATTTCGGTACTGATGGAGTTATTACTTTTATTTACATTACATTTTAAAATATTTAGAGGCCATAAAAGCTGTGGGTACGAATTGGTATGAATGCAACTTCATGAATTTTTAAGTTTCTACAACTTTCCTGAATCAATAGATAATTTTCTAAAATTGTAAATAAATTTTTACATGATAAATACATAAGTGCATGCTAGCACTTTAATATATCTAGCAAGTTCACAGTTTAAACTTCTGAAAAAAATGTATAGCATGTCTGCATATAAAGCATGTTTTTTATTTTAAATATGCTATTTTGAAGTTTGCTCATATGGAATCTAAGCATCTATTATTGTAAGCAAACTGGTTAAAAATGTTATTTTGCATGTGTTTCCAGAAAAGGCAGTTAAAGGCATTATGATTTTAAATACTGGTTCAAGACATGCACCTTTAAATTATAATGCTTTTAGATTGAAGTGCTAAATGCTGTAAAAAATACTTCAGTTCTCTGATGGCAAAAAAATAAATTTTTGTATAGATTTAGTAGAGTAAAAATTCCACATCAAAAACATTTTTTCAGGTAAAACGAAATTAAAAAAATAATACATAAATAAATAAATAAAAATAATACCTTTACATACAGAATTTTCAGATATTATTTACTAATCAATTATTTGTTATTGATAACTACATTTTATAATGCATAGAAAAAATACTGATAAATTTATAAGAATTTACATGCATTAAATGATGAAAAAATATACATATGCTGTTAATTTTACACTTATCTGAATATTTAATGATAATTCCATAACCTATATAAGATTCAATCTATATCATTGCAAGGACAATGCTTAAATGACAGTTCTTCTTATTATAATTAATTTCCATATGTAAAAACATAAAAATATCATTTAGCTACAGATCGATAGATTAAGGCCTCTTGTATGCAAAAATAGAACTTTTTTTACTCTTTTTCCTAATGTAGTGCAATTTATTTCATTATATTAAAATACAGCAGTAATTTGATATTTTTTTGTATTATAAATCAACAGCTTTATATAGAATGATCTTACTTTACTGGATTCTCATTTAAATGAATGTTTATGGAAATATCAAAGTAAATGAAAAAAAAAGTGTGAATAAATCTTAGCTAACACTGCTAAGATAATATTTCTTTTTTTCAATAAAATGTTTAAAGGTATATCATTTTAGTTTAGTTCTTTTTTTATTAAAGCAGCTAACCTAAAACATATATCTCATTAATTTGTTAAAAATATAGCTTAAGTAAGTTTTATGTGCATACTGAGAAGGCAGAAAAAAATAGCCTTGATTTAAAACCTGTTTTAAAGCAACAAGTAAATAAAATACACTGGTTCAACAACAACCCCCCCCAAAAAAAAAATATTGTTATGTGCTCTGAAAACAAATCCCAAGTGTCACAATATTACACTCTTACAAAAGAAGAAATATCAGATTAGGAATATACTCTTTTACGTATTTGATAACAAAGAAGAGTAAAACATATGCAACATCACATTATGAAAAATCCTGCAAATCATTACAATAATAAGGTAAAAATCAGTTGATCATTCTTTCACAGTAGCACTAAGTTTTCCAATCAAAATCATGAATATGGCAAAACAGATTCACTATCGGTGCCTCAAATTTAAGGTCACACAAAAGTAAATTTGATATAGCTGAGCATGAAATCTTCCACGACAAATTTATGAACAAATTGATTTTCTTTATAATGTACTTTCAAATTTAACATAAGCATGCATGAAATTTAACACTATAATCTAAAGCACTAGTATATAATAACAGTCACATGTATTAAATGAATTTAATCACACTTTTAAGAATAAAATTTTCTGATAAATTTTAATTTTTATACAAAATAGAATTAATTTTGTAAGCTACTTAAAAACATATTCCTGTTTACACATTTAAATATTTAAAGTAAGTATACTTAAAAAAAAATACAACCTGAAGATTTACTACTAGATAAAGCATGATAATGGGCTCAAAATAATTTGTCGAATATTTAAATTAATACTTAACGTCTTCAAAATTCATAAAAAGTACAGAATATATTTATCTTACTATAAAGAAAAACAAAATAATTTATAATTTAGATCACACTATCAAGTTTTTAACACTGGCGCCAACTAGCAGATTTGGCGGCAATATATTAGAATCAAAATAGAATGCTACTTTAAATTGCCAGTTGTACAGTAAAATTAAATAAAAATAAGGCACATCACATTTTTAACCTTTGTGATAACCCAGCACAAAGTTAACATGAAATGTAGGATACAATTTTACAAACAGTATAAACTATTTGCGATAATAAAAGAAACATCACAAACAGTATTGGCGTTATTTTACTGCACAAACACATGCACATTCTGCAATTGATTGTGTATTTATAAAATCAATTGATCATCGATAAGTGACAGTGAAATAAAAATACACATTTTGAAGAAATACGAAGAGTAATTTTTCTAAAATTCTATGGAAAAATACAAAGCTGAACTTACCTCATCAACAACTTACCTCTCCTGGGTCCGGAATTCATCAATCTTGACGATAATTAATTATCCATTGTCTATATTTTATGTAAATCGAATGCATTGCTTCGATCACGGAAAATTGGCTGCCGACCCAGAGAAATTCGACTGGTTTCATCCAAATACGCTTCAGCTAAAACTGATGCAAAACCTTCCGCCATGTTTATTGCCAGAATTATAACCATCTGTTTATTTAACATGAGGGGTCAGACATGTCCTTACTTTAACAGCCGTCTCGTCAATTTAACGGTCAAATTTAATGCTAGCTTTGATGAGAATACCAATACTTGTGATTTAACTACTTGTGACGTCAGAGTACCATGTGATTCCGTAAATCTCACTTAACGCTGTGGTTAGAAATGTCATGAATAGGGCCCTAAGTTTGTTATCAGTGTATATGTTGGCAGTCTTTATTGTGGTGCAGTAATGTAGAAAATTTGCAGAATGTTAAAAAAGTTATCTTAAATTAGAAAGTTTTTAAAATATGCCATTTCTCATTTTCAGGCGTTTTTAATCAGTATTTGTATCATTCTTTTATGTATGGATTTATTTTAATAGGGCATGAAGATCGCATGCACACATTTTCAGTGTGCGGCTTGGGCATTCCAGCATCTCCGTGATACTTATCCACAGCCTAAGGGTAGTGACATGTCTCATGATCTTCTTATATTTTTCATAAATATTATGTTGGTATGTAAATTTCACCTACTTATATTTGTTACTTTTCAAACTGTGTACCTGCTGTAATTCTAACTTAAGATGAAGCTTAGCATTCGTAATTATTTAACAATGTGCCATGCTATTCTTTGCCAATCTTAAGTATCTGGCACAATGATAAGTTAATTAGAAATAGTGTAATGTTAGTAATTAGTAGTAATTAAAAGATGTAGTTATTAAAAAAAGGCTTTTGACATAATTCTTATTTTGGTGAAATAAAATTACTCTTACACTGAAAAAAGTTGATATTTGAATAGTCAAAATAAGTTTGAAGAAGTAATAAATAAGTCAATTGAACTGTAAATAATTTTTTTTATATATATTTGTGCATAATGATTTCACGATGATCAAATATGACCAAATAATGCTTAGGAACGAAAAATGCAATTAATCACCAAATATGATTCATTTGTTTAAAATATGCCGATAAATTTTATTCATTATTTAGTAATTATTTAACAAGTCAAAAATGTTAATATATTTTTTTATTTTTTAAATTTAATTTAATTTTATTATTCTGTATTTCTACATTAATATTTTGAGTGTATGTGCTGGTTTTGAGGTATTTAAAATTGTGTGTGGAGTGCTGAAATCCAGCTGTTTCTAATGCTTTCTGAGAACCAGCAGCAAATATCATAAAAGAATCCGTTCGTCTTTTTCTTGCTGAAAGAATAAGCTGATGATCAGATTTGGAATATCAGTCTTTAATTTTTTTAATCATCATTAAAGAATGGTATTTCTCATATATATCTTTGAGGTATTCATATTCAGCAAATTAGTTAATCTTTGGTTTGATTTATCTCAGGACCTGGTTAAATTTTCAAAATCCTGTTCTTTGGGGGGGGGGAAACTGTGACTGAAATACAGCTTAAGTAAGGTGTTGCGATCATAATTCATCATTACCTCAATTTTACCAACTACTTCTAAACTTTAAGTAAGAGGGAACTGTAAAGAATTAAAAGATTTCTTGTAGTTCTGTACTCAATGTATTTACCTAACCAATTGGAAGGTCTCAGGCTGGATTGCCATTGAGGGCACAGTTAATTTTTCCAAATTCCTACTTGTGAAAACTTGATGTAAAAACCTACTTCATGCACATTATTCAGTTGGCTTCATTTGTCTTTTGTGCAAATTTAATCAAACTTATAATATATACATATTAATAAATTAAATGAAAAATTTAAACAGTATATATTCAGCCTGGAATAAAAAGCTGACAATAAATGAACCATTTTGCGAAAGCAATAAACTGCTGTGAATAATTAAGAAAAGTGTCCAATGCAAAAATAGTGATATATTAAATGTAAAAATTTAAAGAAGAAATTACATCTCCTAATGCATCATCTTTAGAGGGTTGGTGTATTAAGAGAAGTAAATGGATTATTCTGTTTCTGAACTGGTAAATGACACAAATTTAATAAATTTAAAACATTAGTAAACTATGAAACAGTTTATGTCTGGGGACTGAGAAAGACACAAATTGTTTTTAGTTCCAATGTAAAATTATATTTGTAATTTTGTATTCTCCAGAGCAGCTGAATTTTCAGATTTCTGTTGTAACCTTTGTGTTTAAATGTTGTGCCTTTGATAATACTGAAAAATGCTAATTAAATATCGACAATTGTAAGAAATTATCCTTCTTAACATTTTTTTAAAGTGAAAATAAGCCACTGTGTACATGGATACCGAGTATCAGCAATTCTTAAAAACGTGTCAAGCAGTGGTGGATTCTGCACTTATCAGAAAAGGGTTTAAAAATTAAACTAGTATTTCAATGGCGTCTTAAGAAATATAGAACTATATAATCTTACACAATCTGAAATCAGCGTGTAGGCTAGATTTGGCGCTTTTGCGCATACATTTTCACTGCAATTTTTTTACGGTCCTCAAAACGGAATAGTACCGATATTATTCATCTTCCCTTATTGCATTTCCTAACATAATAGTTTCTTGTAGTATGGAAATTTCTGCATTATTTTTCTTCATGTGTATTATTATCCAAATATTCTGAATCATCTGTGTGAGAAATAAAATCTTCATCCAAGGAATTGAATTCACTCATTATTTATCTGATAAATTGTCTTCTAAATATTTTGCAACTACTTTATCTGTGATTAGATCTTTTAACCTTGCGTGTTTAGGATGAGAAGGCCTGGTAAATAGTGATTTATGTTACTCATTATAGTAATATTTTGGAAGAAATTGTGTGAGAAAAATATAAAATCAAAAGGAAAATTTACTTCATTTGCTATCACACCTGTACAACTACATATACCTATGACAGAATGCCAATTAATCTGAAAATGAAGTGTTAACATGCGCTGGCCATATGAATAGCTTTTAGATAATACCACCATTTTGTGCCTCAGTACATGACTTGCAGCAAATATGTTAAAATCAATAATGTATTTGTTTAAATTATATTGTTAATTTGTAATTAGCTTCCTTTTGTATTGTATTATTTTTTATAGATTTAGAATTTTGAATTTTTAGGCGCAGGCCCAGGAATGCATTTTGGAAAAATCTATGTTAGACAGCAGGAAGTCTACAATTACTGCAAAAATTGCAACACAAATACTTGACTACTATAAATGCGCCTTGGGCATAATGGTATCAGGCAGTCCCAGTACGGACACTGGAAGTATTTTAGATATAGTTGGATCTAAAATTTTCAAGGTATACATTTATTTACATTCACATTTTATTATGATTCAAGTATTGTAATTACAAAATGAAAAATCTGAGGCTAAAATGCATGAAATAAGAATTGAAAACTTATCCCTTAATCTTAATTATTGAAGTCATTCTCTGTCACATTCTTGTGTATTTGCGCTATCACTCTTTAATCGTGTAGATTTCAAATATAAGGTTAGTTTTACTCTTATTCTTATACTTATACTGCAAAATGGAGTAGATGTGTCAAGTTCTTTTGAAAATTCAATATCATTTATAAATTTTATTATTTGTGGATAAAATATTTTGAAATTAATAATTATGTCTTTCGTATCAACAAAGCACCAATGAGAAGTTCTCTTAGTTCATGAGACATTGTCCAGGGTTTCTGCCAATAAACATCCTGTGAATAAAAAGGTTAAGCCCTGCTCTCATATGGACTTTTTTTTTTTTTTTAAATTGCATTTGCCTTTTGCATGATTTTATGTTTCCTTGTGGAAAATGTATATTTTCTGCTGATGCAGCTGGTGATTTATTTGCAGGTTCTAGCTCTTGAACTACTGAATAGTGAACTTTTAACATATTTATTAATGTACAGAAAGCTTAATAATGATTCCTTATTAATAACATTTCTAAGTAATGTCGACAGCAAATTAACAGTTGATTATTATTTGCATAAAATGATGTAATGAGTTACTTTTTGGCATCTTCAAAGTTGCCTTATTGTGCGGAGACAAATTTCTGACTTATAGCAAGCATTTGGCAGTTCACTGTATTTGAATTTTATAGCATTCTCTATAGACTTGCTTTGTTTGGTACATTTTGCAGATTGAATTAGTTGTGTTCTGTCAGTTTCACTGTTGTAATTTAAGACTTGTGATTCATTGAAGTTGAAGACACTATTAGAACTGCAGAATCAATACTGGATGAATTCTCTGAAATCAAAAACCTTTAAAAACACACATGGCACAGATAGCTTAAAATTTCTGAGACTGGCTAGAAAATTATGACATTTATAATGTCAAATAGAGACATTATTTGAGAAGTTATTGCTTCTGCAGTGTCAGGCTATGTTGTGTCATACCTCTTAATAGCTTATTTGGTAATGCCCTTTGGTTTACAACTTGTGAGATGACTGCACATGGACTTTCATAACTTCATGTATACAGAAACATCTTTAAATTATAATGTAGTAACTGTTATAAAATTATATTTCTCACGTGATATTTTTAAAAGTATTTTGTCTGGAGTTTAATCATTTAACTTGGATCTGTATATGTTTATGCCATTCACATTGCGATTTTACTATTTGAAATTAATAAATTAAGTACTATTTTAAGTGTAGAACTATATTTATCTATTTCAGAATTATAATTTTGTTTTGTTGTTATTTAGCTAGAGATAGAGCATCTAGCTACGTCAACTTGCTGAGTGCAAAAATTGGGTGCAAAAATTAAAGACAACACAGGTCTTTGATATGTAACATTGTGAAGAAATATTTCAAATCAGTGAAAAGTGTACCATAACATCTTCAAGATGTAAGTCTGTGGGGAGTGAACATTACTGACCTAGATAAATCCAAAAGATTTTTATTTAAAATTAGGTTCATTGTACTGCGGGCAAGAGCAGCAGTGCTGATTGCAGTTATGCAGTTTTTCCTTTGTGGCTAGTGAAGCACAGCAACCAGACATCTCCCAAGAATGTCCTATATTTGCACATACTCTCTCATACTGGGCGATATGCAATCTCCTGGTTGGTTTTCCAGTAGTTTCTGCCTGTTCTGTATTGTTCAGCTTTTCTTTCTTCACTTTGCTCTTAATTTTTGAATACTTAATTTTTGTATTTATGTTTGTTTATATAATTTAGAGTAGCTGGCTTAAAATTGGGGAGCTTGTCTTCTCATATATTAAATGTGTCTGCATGTGGAACCATTTAATTTTGATCATCATGAGTTCAGTTTCTAGAAAACTAGTTGACTTGGGATTTTCTGGGCTTTCCACCTAGATAACATTAGTTACATACAGTACAAAGTCTGAGATACGGATTTGGGCGGATTTGGAAATATTCTGTGTTGTAGATCATCAGTTTAAATCTAGTAAGTTAACATGTAGAGATTACAAAATAAAAAATATGAAGAGTTGTATATGAAATAATGAAGTCATTATGACCTTAAGGGAATCAAAATTTACAAAAAAGGTTTAACATTTATTTTGTTTGCTTTATTAAACATTTCTCTCAATAAATTTTTTTTTTTTGGCTAATATCTTTAATTTTATGGATAGACATAATTTCTTCTTTTAAAGTTTGATTGTTCAAGTCCTGTAATTGCCATGTTCAGAATTCCTACTAAATTGCCGTTCAGAGTTTTTTCGTTCTTAACAAATTCTCTATTAATTGCAATATTTTTTTGGATTTAGGACCATACTACAGATTTCATTGTCCATTAGTTGATTCATTATTGGGCATAGTCAATCACAATGGAAAATTTCTGATCATCTTCATTTATTACCTGTTCTCCATATTTCTTTTCAAATTCAATCAATTAGAAAATCTCAAATTTTATTTGCAATGTTTGATAACCTTCAAATTGGCAACTGTCATTATTAAAGATTCTCTAACATTTGTTGTACACTGTTGGCACTGTATCATGGCATTAGCAACTAAAGACATTCTCTGCTAAATTTTGTTCTTGATTCTGTCATTTGCTGAGGATGTTAAGCTTAGATTATATTATTAATTTAGTTGTTTATTATACTTATATCTATTTTTCACACATGTTTAAGGCTTATCTAAATCCCAAATCAATAAATACATAATATAACCCAAACTACCATAAACAAAACACTCACTTGGCCTTTTTAAATAGTTTTAATTAACAAAACACAAATAAGATAAAACATTAAGATTAAGGGCGTTATAATTACACATTTAAGTTATAAAGTAAATCTCGGGAACACCATGCTTTGTGTTTTGAGTCCAGCACATCGACTGAGTGCTATAGTCTTTGTTGGCCGGTGTTTTGTCTCTGTGGCTGCTATGTGGCGCTCGTTAAGCCATGGGGTTACAATAATAATTATACTTAAGGCTTATCCAAGGTTATCACTAGACATTTGGCTGCTTGGTGCAATCTCTGCGGGTCCTAAATTCTTCTGCTAGGTGCTGCCGTTAAAATTTTCACTGCCCCCAAATTTTATATCCTAATGCCTTCTCTAAAGATTTTTACCATCCCTTAATTCTATTGCTCTTGTGTTCTTCTAAATTCTAAAAATTTTGCTGCCTGGTGTGGTTGCATCGGCTCTTAGCTTATCTGAATAACAAATCACTTATTATTAATCCAAACAGCACTAAATATAATCTTATAGCTTATGAACTTTTTGAATATGGAAAGAAATTCATATTAAATTTTTCCTCATCAACACTTTGCAGTGCAGTAGGCTGAAATCCGAAATAATTGTTAAGTGTAATGTCAACGGAAAAGGTTACCATGCTATTTGGTATTCACTTAAAAAAAGAAAGAAAGAAATTGTTTTACACTTGCTATACGAGTCATTTCTCAAGCTACCAAATGTTGATAGTAATGCTATGATGAAAGCAAAAAATAATAAAATATGATTCATCAATTCAATATGTGTTAGAGATATAAGTTATAGGATTCTGTAAAGTTACTTGGAGCTAAAAATTACTAGAACTGTGAATGACTATTCGCTAAGTTCTGTTCTATCAGTAACAACTCAAGAATAATGGTAAAAAGACTTCTTTCATTCACTCAAGAACAATTAAAAGAAGGCACTTCCCATTCTCACAGATACCTCAACACTTTTGACACTAACTCAATAATAGAACATAAAATTAAAACTAAATCTACATAGAATAATCAGCCAAAGCTGCACAGAGCTGTTTGACGCATAGTTGGCTCTTGGCTGATATCACCAACATAGGTTAACAAGCAATTAGTATACATGACAGTCAAATTGCAAGCTTTAAATAGTAGCAAAACAACATGGCTGAAAGAGAGAACACACTCTCTCTGTCAGAAGTAACTCAGACCTCAGCTTAAATAGTAGCTTTCTGCCTTATTTTGCATAATGTGCAAAATTGAAATCTCATTCTGGCAAGAAAGTGTGTGGTGGAAAATAAGAGTTTAAAGGAAAGCCTGTTTTCAAAATAAAATTAACTGTCAGGAAAATAAAATGAAACCCCACAAAGTTATAATCAGCAGTGTTTCAATGTAGAATCTTATGGTTTAAAATGCATTCCAAGTAAAAAGCCCACTAGAGCCAAATTATTGATCATACTGATTTGTGTTTATAAATTATTGTGTTTCTTCAACATGGAGGTGTTTTATTTAATGTCAAAGTAAATTAAAAATCGGAACTCTCCATAAAGCAAAGGAAAAATTCATTGAAAAAAAATTGTTGTTGGTCTAGAAGTCTGGATACTGGACATCCAGATTTCGAACTTTGTACTGTTCTGCTTTTCCTTAGACGCTTCTCCAGTGAGGCATTCCTTCTATGGCAGAGAGCTTTTATGCTTAATCAACCTATTAATCACTTATTATTGAATTTAAGAAAATCACTTATTATTGAATTTAAAAATTCAATAATAAGTGATTTTCTTAAATTCAATAATAAGTGATTGATAATAAATTTAAAATTTCAATTATTATTGAATTTTTAAAAATTTGTTCTTATTTCTCAAATTTTTTGCTGTTCCAAGATGTACATGCTTTGAATTATTGCAGTTTAACTATGTAACAATTCATATAAAATTACCAATCATTTCTACATATAACATTTGTACTCAAATAAAAGTTTATGATTATAAAATGTTACACTTATTAATCATTAAGCACTTATTGTTTTCCTACAGTGTGCTTGCATTTTTTAAATTTGTGGTCAGTTTGAATTAAAGAATAATTAATTTTATTTGTAGATGTGAAATAAAGTAAAAGTTCTGTACAAAAGAACAGTGGCATAATTATAAAGCTAGATCTTGAATTTGATAGTATCTCTTAAAGAATAATAATTTTTAAAACTAAATTAATATGCTAGCAATTAGTCCAGTTTCATTTATTTCACTTTTTGATTTTATTATTGCAATGGCGTTTAATTTATTTTTATTACATTTCGTAAATTTTTACTTCTGGCCTTAAATCATTGCTTTTCCAGAAGAACAGTGTATCATCACTGAAAGGTTCACAAAAGTAATTATTGAATTTTATAAAATTAAAATAAGATCTATTTTAAGTACTGTGGTGATTCTAATTTCACATTATTTTTTAAAATAATTTGTTAAGTTGTGTTTAATATTTATTTTATAGAAATGTTTGAAATTAAACATAAATTAACTATGGAATAACTAATATATATATTTTTTGAACATGGAATATTGCTGCAAAACATGTTATAAACCAATTTTACTATATATTCTTAGATTAGGACTGCATACTTGAAATTAGAAAGCTATTCTACAATTTCTTGAGATGTGTGACATTTGTTTTTCTGTAATATATATTTTGAATGATAAAATATTTATTGTTTCTTTCACAGAGTTGGAAGAAATTCATTGAATTTAAGATGTCTTATTATACAAGTATTTCTCATTTATATATGGGCAATTTGGCTGAAGAGCATGAAAAATGGGGAGAGCGTGTTGCTTGGTTTCAATCAGCATATGATCATTTGACAGAAGCCTTCAAAATTGCAAAAGTAATTGATTGTGTTTATGCCTTTCATTTCGCCTTTGTTTTGTTTTTATGAGATAAATTATTTTTTCTCTTTGATATTTAGTTGACCACTATTAGAGTTTCTCAATATCTGATCTACTAAATAAATATGTATAATAGATATTATCATTTGTAAGTTCAATGTCATATTTTTATTTCAGAATATTGACAATAATGATTTGACTGAATCTTTAACCTTTACCATGGATGTTATTGGGGGCAAGTAAGGATATTTTTCAGAATTCTGCAAAGAAATTTAATAAAATAAACATTGAGTTTGAGTAATAATATTTATCTAATGCAATACAAATTATTATTTTGTATGTTTGATTACTGAGAAGTTGATCTATACCATTAATCTATACCACATTAATACCATTCTACAGAAAATAATTAAGATCATACTTTAAATTTACATAAATAGAATATTAAAATTGTTATTTTGGAATGCTTTGAAAATTGATTGTTCGCTTAAAATTTTAAAGAAGTGTTCGTCTGTATCAGTGTAGTAGGTTTAGTTCAAAACATACGTCAGTAGACTTAGTGTTGTGTGAAACTTCCGTGGAATTGGGTGAAAAAAAAAATAAGATTGAAAGTGTAATACACAAAATGCTGGTAAATATTTTGGAATCGAAATGATAATTTGTAAATATGTGTAGTTTGTAAGTCCTCTTTATTTTATATTTAGAAGTAAGGTTTGATATTATTCTAACTGCCCAAAATATAATTGTACAACTTTTGAAAATTATTTATTATGCTAAATTTTACTGTAAAAATAATCAATACTAAAAAAATTATGTGATTTTCAACATCAGCCAGTAAAATGAAATAATTTTAATATTAGTGTTTTTTATTGATAATATTTTGTATTAGTAATTCTGCCATTTTGTTTTAGGCATAATTCATCTAAAAAGGAAAATGAGTTTGTGTATCATGAGAAAGTACCGGCACTTAGTAGTTTACCTGAACTAAAAGGGGCATCCTTAGTCAAAGGAATACCTTTCAGTATAACTGATCCAGATGTGTCTGGACCAGATATTTTTGCACGCTTGGTTCCAATGGAAGCACATGAAACTTCATCATTGTATAGGTAATTTTAGTTTATTAAATGTATAATTATTTTAAGCATGTAAGTTTTTCATTTCATTTTAAGCATTCATTTCTTAATATTTTATATGGAGTTAAACCATATAAAATATTAAGAAACTATGAAAAATAACAAAATTTTCTGTATTTGGTAGAGTTTATAATTTTTATATTCTAAGGCTCTATAAGGTTTTAATTTCTTTCCTATAGTATTAAAGAAAGGTTATACTCTGTTTTTGAGAAGTTTTAGAAACCTGATACACTTTCTTTTTAAAATGAATATAATATTCTTCTAACATATTGAGGGGAGCAGTTATTGTAGAACTAATAAATTCTCACATTGGATGTGCAAGTAATAAACCAGAAATCTACTTAGTTTGGAGCCAGAGGTTGTTCAGATTCTTTTATTGTGCTTCGCTAAAAAACTTTCTACAAAGTACATTCTTTTTTTTTTTTTTTTTTTTTAATTTTTAAGGCAGCTTTTTGCTTAATCAAAATATCAAAATAATTATTTTTGATATTTTTTATAGAGTAAAATAAAAGCTATATAAAAAGGAAATAACAATAAAGCATTTTGTTGTGTGTTATGAATTTGTAGAGATATGCCTAATTAACTAGGTAAGATAGACGGGAAAACTTGAATAAATCTTTATTGATATAAATCTCAGCTCGGATAGCAAGATTACCAGTTATAAATAGCCCAAGAAGAAAAACAGACGTAGAGTAAAATCCTACGTAGCATGCAAAGAATATCACAGATCATCAAAATTACAAACCAGTATTCAGAGAATAGAAACTAAATGCATTTGCACAATTGGTGAACTGAATGACTGCACTGACAGTGGATGGTACTGATTAACTGGACTGATGGCAGCTTGAATAGCCATCCAGCTATTACCATCTTGTTATATATAGGTTTGCTAAAGCAGTGAAAAAGTAAGCATTTCTGGAAGTTTCAACAAAAGTTGCTTTCAGGAATTGAAAAGTATATGTCCTGGAAACTTCCAGAATATCTCCATGTTGGCTAGAAATCACCAAAATATGGGAGGTTTATGCCTCTATCTGTAGTTGTGTTTGAACTTAATGTTAATCAACTCATAATTAAAAGGTCTATGACATAATGCATAAAATAAGTAAATAAATAAAAAATACATAAGAACTAAGTTATGAACAACTAACACAAATATTTCCAAAAATATATAACAGTATTAAGAAGCATAACATTTTTGTGTTTTCCACATATCTGTTTTACAATATTTATTTCAAAACTTTAAGATGTTCTTATTTGAGTCCCTCCCTTCTCAAATTATATGCAGTCATTATTTTTTAATCAGTTACTGCTTTATTTTAAATATTTTTTCTAAAACTGAATTTTCATGGAATGATATGCTTTTAGTGTTCTGTTCATCATCATGATGAACTGAATCTTACTCCCCCTCCTTAATTCTTCCATTTAAAATATTGTCAATGATTTTGTCATGTCATTAGACAGTGATCTTAATTTTATCAAAATTTGTTATCCAGTATAGTGTCAACTTCATTTCATTCACATAAAAAAATAATTAACCTTTATTGCATCCTTAATCCAAAAAAATTATTACTGTCAGATGTTATTTGAATAAGAACTGAAATAAAAATATAGAGATCAGTAGCTCCTGTACATTTATTAAGGAAGCCATGGAATCAGAAGCAGATGCGTTAAATCTGAAAGTTTTAACAGTTTCATGATGTAAATAACTATGAATTTTACTCTTAATGTAAGGGAATCCATGCAGATTTTATGTGCTGATGTATTTTAGGTCGGTGGTTTTTTTATTTTATTTATTTATTTATTTATTTTTTGCTGTGTTATAAATAATGCCAATAAATTTTGTGCAATTTTCAGGTTTTATTCTACCATGAACAACATTTATATGCTATGCAGATTTTAGTGTGATAACTGGAGTGTCTGTAGTATCCAGTATTTTTCTGTGAAACAAAACTGTGTAATTTGTTATCAGATGATCAATTATGCTTCTGGTATGATTTAATTTTGGCGATTTCTACAAATTCCAAAATTTTTCTAAGGAAAGTTAAAAAATTCTTCTTTTTTAACTTTGCTAAGAAAAATATCTCGCTATAAATATTGCTAGTTACACACTTCCTCATAAGTCGTCAGCAAATTAAAAAAAAAAAAAAAAAAAAACATTGCCTGCAGAGAAAGGAGTGCAATTAATGTGTATCCCTTTCCCCCTAAAAACTCCTTTTAGCTATATGTATTATTTTAGTATGGTACAGTTATTATCTTTTTGTCAAATTAAACCCTGTGTATTTCGTAGAAGTTACACTTGGATTTTTATAATAAGCATAAATTTACTTAACATTTTCATAATTTTTTTTTTTTTTTTTTTTTATTTTCAGTGAAGAGAAGGCAAAGATTTTGAGGTCTGTTGTATCAAAAATTGAAGGGAAAAATGAAGAGCTAATGTAAGTTTTGTTTGCTGTTATATTTTCTTTAATTATTTAGTACAGATGCATATTTCCTATGTAAACAACGAATGATGATCACATAAACAGGAATGTTGGATAATGTAAAATAACTGAAGCTGAATTATTAATTAGATCCAGAAAAATAAATAATTTACTACAAACTTGGTGCATTGCAAGCCAGACATAATAACTGGGGATTGAAAGTAATTTTATGTTTATGGTAGTAAGTTTTTTTTTGGTATTATATAAAGATAAGTGTCTTGGAATACATATTTTATTTTTAAAAATTATGCAGTAGAAAAGTAATAAATATATTGTAATTTAAATTTAAGAAAGTGATGATGTTTACTATGTAATATTCAACAAATTACTTTTCAAAAATATTAGTTGTTGGTATGAATGGCCAGCTTAATGTTTAGCTAGTAATGGTCATGGCTGAACTGAAAGCTGTGACTGGGAAGCAGTTTTATTACAGCTGATATATTGCAAATAATATACAGATTGTAATAGTAATACTTTCTAACATGAATTAAGTTTTCATACCATGTTGGAAAATGATGTTTCACAAATTGGCTAACTGTTGTGCACAATATATGATTAAAGCAGTGATCGCAAAACCGTCGATCGTGAGCTAGTAGTAACTCATGGAGACATTTTTGGTAAATCGCGTTAACACTCTGATTGGCTATCCTTGATTCCTCCACTGAGCTGACGTTGGCAATGACTTTTTCATTCACCCTCTACCTATCATTAACAGCCTTGCAAATGACATTCAACAGGAGATTGCAAATGTTTTACAGGGTATTATATGTTGTATTAACCACTCTGAGATGTTGCTTTGAGAAACTGAGGTCTGTTTGAGAAAGTCAGGTAACTGCATTCAGTTATATTTATTGCTGTACCAAATAAAATGCTATCCTGCTTTGAAAATGGGTAACACTGAATGTTCCACTTGTGTCATCATGTATGGATAGTAAATATTTTTTTGAAAATGATAAATATCTCCTAAACAAAAGGTTTTATAGATTGTTTAGAAAGGATGAAAATGCCAGCATCTTTAACCCAGTTGCATATGGAATAATTTGCAAGCTAAGTTCTTTGTCTCCAGCTGTAGATATTAATATGCTAATAGCGATGTTCTTTTTTGTCTTAATTTGATTAGTTGTCAAAAGCAGTAAATGAAAGTTTAAATGCGTTAGTGCTTTATTCAAGTTCTGATATTAAGCATTTTTTATGTGGGTTCAAATATTAAAAACCTAGATTATATTTAAAATGAAAGCACAACAGAAAAATAAAAAATAAATTTTGTTATTAATTGTGATACAAGCCACCTGTCAGATAAATGTTGTTGGTTAATGAAGTTATCAACATATTTAGATTTATGATGTAAAATGGAGTCAGAGTGTGTTTGATAAAAGCATAATTTTCACATTAGACTTGTTCAAATGTTAATGAAGCAAGTTTGCGTAAGAACAGGATTATTATTATTATTATTATTATTATTTTAATTCCACCCTTTTTTTTTAAGATCCATTTTTTTTTTAGATAGAATGTTTAATAGTCTGAGTGACACAGAATACATGATAGTTAAATTTATGAGTAGATTATTATAGACTGCCCTTCAAATGGAACGAATATTGGAGTTTTCTATTTGTTTGCATGATTTATTCCTATTTCTTCTAACGAGCTTTACTTCTTTTTACATATAGGGCATATTTATCATCTCTACAACTTGAAAGTGGATTGTCTTTCCAAGATCAAGAAAAAATCCCACAAGAATTGCTTGAGAAATGTGCGGCAATGAGTGTGAAACCAAATGCTATTTCAGAATTGACTGAATCAATGAATGGTATTTAAAATAAAGGAATTCTTTTTTAGTGTATCATGCTCCTCTTGTTATTATGCCACCTTATTATTATATTGTTTTTGTTTCCTCATTATAAATGGGTTTATTCCTTACAGTTGATGATACATGAAATATTATGAAACAACTCATCAACTCTAATGTTTCAGTGGTTTATTGGAACTTTATATTAAATACGGTATGTTAATTGGATTATAAATCCAGAAACTGTACACGAAACCAACGTATACCAATCTTGTCAGTGTCAGGTGTTCATGTCTATTCTAGGCAGCATCTCTTTCTCTCAGCAAACAGCAGTGGTCGTAACAGCCAAACTTCCGTTAAGAATCATGCTGATTATGATTTTACTTCTAATTTTAACCTATGCTTCTTGCATAAAATTTGCATAAATTTCTGGACTGAGCAAGTCCATGATGAAATGAGACATAGCAGAAAGAATCAACCTAAAACTTGTTAGTTAAATGTCCCTAATCTTCTTTAAAATATCTGAGACTGTTATCAAATAATAAGTGTAAATTTTGGAGGAATTTTGTAATTGAATGATAATTATCTGATAAATTTTAAAAAGTTGATTTAATTCTCGATTTTGTTTTTCAGGTTTTTTAAATACTATATTATGTTTAATAATGATTCATCTGACTTACAGTTTTATTTTATTCTTAGAATAGTATTATAGAACTGAAGTTCAGGTATAGATAATTGCTTTAGTTTTTTTCAATCCCCTTTGCTAATAAGTCCTTAATTATTTTTCATCAGTGGTCCTTAAAAGTATTTAATTTCATTGTGCAAAAGTGTGTATAAACCTGACTTGACAGTCTTATAGAGAGGTTTCTGCCGTATCTCTAGTACTACTTTAGCAGCTGTAATAATTTCAATTTCAGTTAACTCAGAATTGAAAGCTTTACAAAACACTATATGAAATAAGCACAAACACTATAAGTAACTGTAAATTCAAGATTAAATAAAGTAAGTAGTAAATAACAATAAAAACATTCTTACTGAATGTATTGAATAAATAAAAACAAGAAGCAACATTAAAAAATGCTTGGAAATCAGATTACTAACAAATACAAAAATATGTATGAATTAGCATAAGCATCCTTATTACTGTATCAAAGTATATTGAAGATATGTACGTTCTTTGAAATAATAATCTTTCCCCTTTATTGGTAACCAGTATGGAGTGGGTTTATATTAATTTCAGAGGTGTTATATCTGATAATCATGTGTTTTAAAGACATTTTGTTTCTGTTTAGTTCATTTGTGTAATTAAAATTTGAATAATGTCTGTCTGATAGAATTGTTAAGAATATCTAAAGAAGTTGATGAGGCATTAAAGCAGTCATCAGCAATTCTTACAGAAGAGGAAGAAAAGGAATTGAAATATCAGGTAACATTTCAATTATCTCATATTATTTCATTTTTTTATAGTTTTTTCTGTAACATATTAAGTAATACTTAATGGTGCGAGGCATTGTGAGCATTTAAACAAAATTTTCCATTTTTTAAAGTAATGAGATACATTGATTTATGCAGTGAAGCTGTTTTTAAAATCATATGGTCTTGTTATTTTTTTAAGCAAAAGAATGTATTTTTTTTTATGTTCTGTTATATGAATTGACATAGATTGAACATTTTAAAAATGACTATACTGTGAACATCTAAGATTATCATTTATAATTCCAGGAAGATTTTAGCTTTCTTTAGCCCCTTCGCGCCGGGTAGCGCAAACGCGCGCTTATCGCAGAGGCCGGCAGTGTCTTACGTGAGCGTCTGTCCAGGGCCGGGGGCTTTTTTGCTATTAAGCCTAAATCCATGAAATTTCCGAAGTATCAACACATTGTTTAATAAGCTCTACAGAGTATTTAAATGGCTTATGCTTTATAGATATTTTATATATACTTTAATTCTTATTTCTTTTTAAATGCATATTTTACACATTTTATTTTCATTACTCCCATTTTATGACTTTTAAACATTATACTCTGAAACTAATTATTAAATTCCCTTTTCGTATGAAAAATTTGAAAACAGGGATTACACCAGTCCTACGAATTCCTTGCACTCGTATAACTCATTTCTGTTTTATAGGATTTCCAGGAATGTGAGCAACAAGCATGTCTCATTTTCTTATCAGTCTCTTCTGAACAAAGTTTTGGAAAATGTCTTTCAGTTAATCTGAGCGGATTTAATATATCATAGTATCACTATCACTACTATCAGAATCTGTTTCAGAATCAATGTCTGAAATATTTTGCATCATATCTGCTATTTCATGCTCTGTTAAACATTTTCGATGCTTCGACATTGCAGCGGTTAAAAACAGAAAGAATTCACGTCTAACAAGATCTAATTATTTTCTAAAAACTGAACTGCAAACCGAAATACCAACGCTTTAGCGAAAAAAAACTTCTCTACCACAATAAAAACTACCACGTGCGAATTTAAAGAGACGTCATAAAGCACGCCATTCGGAAACATTATTTCCCTTTTGTTTATATAATCAAAAACACGTGTATGTAGTCATGCTTCCTCTTTCGAGTAGGTCTAATGTACATGTATCTGAAACCATATGGACATACAGTGCCATCTTTGTGGTAGAAATTATAGTTTTTAAAACGTTCCAGGACACTGGCACAAATACGTGACAGTCGGGGCTGAACGGGAAAACGCTCTGGCACGCTTGCATGTAGGCCACGAAGTGAGTGTGTTCGTTGCTGGCACGTAGACGTGACAGTCGGCGCGAAGGGGTTAGATATGGTCATTTTAGAATTGATCATAAGTTGGATCACTGTGCTTGAGTAATAGTTAAATTATTATACTAAAAAAGGAGGAATATATGTGTAGAATTCGTATATCAGTTGAGCATATTTTTACTGTTGCAAAGAATTTAAATAAAATGTGTTTACATTTATATCCAGTGTAATTTTTACCTGTATGCATGCAAGATATTCGTAGCTGATGGGCCACTTTCTACTGTAATATTTTTTAATTCTAGAAACTTTTTAACAGATGAAAATTACTAATTTGATTGTGAATGTATAAATACTGATTATTTTAACTGGGTTTCTGATCTTTAATTTTTATAAGATCTAGTCTTTTTGGCTAACATGAACTGGTGCTAGACCTACTTGAAGTCTGTTTAGTGATTTCTTGTTAAGACTAGAAGAGAGAATACAACAAAACAAGGATGTTAAAGACCCTTTTATTGAACTCAGTTATTTACAAATGACACGATCTTACAATTTTACCATCCACTTGTGGTGAGAAATTTAAAGATAATGGTAACTAGCTAAACATAAATGGAAGGTGGTAGTTCAAGTCTACACAATTCAATTTAACCTAACAGTTTGACTCAGAAACCTACACTGCCATTATATTAACTTCAGCACCTAGGATGCGAAGAGATTCATAATTCTAACAGATGGTAGAAATAACAAAGTGTGCACTCAATAGTGAAAACATTCTGACTAACCTTTTCTCTACTTCAGTTTAAATACACCCTCATTCAGCTAATTTACAGGCTCACAAGAAAATGTGAGGGAAATGAGTGACAGAAAAGACTGACAAATTAAAATAACTATTAGTAAAAATAATATAAACCTAATATATTTAGGTATAACTTCCACATAAAGATTTTTATCCTCCTGTGTCTACTGATTTTTTTACCATTTTATTATGACGGGTATTATCTGTAAGTTTTGAATAATTCAATTATGTAAATAAATTTACATTGTTCTCATTATATATGTATCTCCAAGGAAACCTTTGGAAAAAGAGGACCTTCTATGATCATTGTTGAACTCAAGAAAGAATGTTCAAAGTATGAAGAAGCTCATAAAAGGGCAGTTGAATCAAACAATACTTTGCATACTGCTATAAATGTTCATGTGAGCAATATAAGCAAATTGCTTTTGCCTCTTGAAGAATTGGCAGAAATACTACCTTCTATGAACTCTATTAAAAGTAAGTGAGGTATACTGCTTTTAAATGAAAAATTTATTGAAGTTACTTTGCATTTCTCACCATTTAAACCTGTTCATTTTGTGTATCTTTTCAAATGGTAGCTTTTACTTTTTTTATTCTGCAGAGCTGCTTTAAATATCTACAGTGTAAAAGAATATTTTTCTTGCAGTTTAATAAATCATGATATATATACAGAATTTAATTGGGGGGAAGGCTAAGACATAAAGATTTGCAGCTTTAAATTCATGTGCTACATAATTGGTGCAGCATCAGTCTTTAACAAATATTTTAAATTTCATAAATATAATTTTTCTTTTTTAAATTTTGCTTTCTTATACTAACAATCATTATTATCCAAATATTATACTTTAGTTTTAATTTAATATGCTTAATTATGTAATAATTTTTTAAAATTTGTAGATAGTTTTAAAGGTAAGTGCATATCATTGTTACACATTAATTTATATTAAAAAAAACTTTCCATAGACCATCTCCAAGGAACACAAATTCAATTTAAAACCAAGAATGAAAAAAAAAATATAATCAATATAAATTAGTATTTTAAATAGTAATTTCAACTTGTTTTTAAAAATCTGCAAAGAAACTTAAATTGAAAAAATACCAAAACCAAAAGTAAATTATAAATATTGAAAAAGAAGTTATTGTCATTGATCGCAGATTAATTGACAAGGGGATAAACCAATCTACCATCAATTAGCAACAACTAAATTAAGAAAGTGTTTCCTCTTACTTAAAAGTAAGCATTAAATTATTTGCTAGATTCAAACCATAAGTCAAAATTAATACTCAATAGAAATAAAGACATTAGTCCATTTAAGCCAAGAATCTTGTTAAACAAAATAGCAAATAATCTTAAATAATTCCTTGGAGATGGTATATGGAAAGTTTTCGTATTACAAATTATTATGAATTATTAGTTTATTACTTTTCAGCTTTAGTGTAAGTCATAAGCTTTTTAATTTACTTTTAATTATTGTTAAACATAGTTCTTTCTTTAACTTGCCTTCAATATTCAAAATAAAATATTCAAATATCTGAGTGCTGGCCTCGCATTTTGATGTGTACACATTTTGCAGGTTGTTATAAGCTTAATATAAGCAATTTAACATTTCTTCCATTTTCAGCTCCTGAAAACGTGAAAATTGTGGAGGAGTTCAATCACTTAATAAATAAAGTTGAAGAAATGCGTAAACAAAGGCAGTATTTGGAACAACAATTGAGAGACTCTTTGATTAAAGATGATATTACTAAACGCTTAGTTACTTTGAGCAAGAAGGAAGATCTGCAAGTAATTCTGCTTACCTGTCTTTGTTGATATACATCTTTTATAATAGTTGATAATACTGCTAGAATAGACATTCATGTTAGTTAGCTGAATTTCAAATTGCTGTTGTAGAATACTTTTGCTGAAGAACTGAAGAAACATTCAGAAATTTTGACTTATCTGGACCAGAATTTAGCTGCACAAGATAATATTCTATGTGCACTGACAGAAGCTAATGCTCATTATGCTGAAACAAGGAAGGCCATAACAGAAATCAAACACCAGTAAGAAAAAATATTACGTTCATTGTCTGTTATTTTATTTAGAATCTGGAAAATTTTATAATATTCCGTTTATGTGGAGAAAATTAGTTCCATGCAAATATTATAGCTTAAATAGCTTTTGTAGGTTTTATAAATTATATTTAATTAAAATTATTAAAATTGTAAATATTTTTTATGTCTTAAAAAAATCCGGTATTCGCACATTTTGTTGTGAGTAACTTAATGCAATTAGTAAACAGAATTGTTCATTATTGTAACTATTTAACTTCAAACTTAATGTGCCTGTAGTAATTCGTGGTTAATGCCTTAAGTATTGTTGCGTTATTTTTTTACTCAAGTTGTTACATTGTTTTCTTCCTTCACATTCGTATGGGGTTCGTGTGGATTTAGAATGAATAACGGCGACAGCACTTGATGGAATATCGAAACACACTTTATTTACCAATATTAATCAGGACAGCTCCAAAACACTTTTACAGTCGTCGAAGATCTACTATAAACATGCTGGAACAATCAGCGACACTGCCTTCACACTGTCAGGCAATAACGGTGAAGACAGCTTCACTGCAAAGCACCAGGGTACAGTTCCTGACTCTGCTCGGTCATTCTCGGAACTTCACGTACTCTCGAGACTCTCCAAGCTACAACTCGCGATGCACTCGACGACACACAGAGCACAGCTCCCAACTCTTCGGTTCAGTCATTCCCAGAGATTAACATGCTCTCTCGACGATGCACTAACCGTGATACATTAAGAGACTCTATCGATGCACTCGACACTCGCTGCCCGGCTGTCAACTCGATCAACTCCGAATTAACTAACTGACAAGACAACTATCTTGCACTTCGCATACCAACAGGGTTTATATAGCTTTTGGCTTGTGTTCGAGAACATTTTGGGCTAAACCGATAAGAATTCATTCCAGAAGGTTCTCTGACTGAAAGTTTTAAAAAGCCACTCCTAAAACATATTCATTGTCAAAAGACTGTAAATTTACATTAGAAATGCCTGTAGTTTAAACTTTTTGTCCTATTATGTTGTGCTTGCAGGGCATTTGCCATTCATTTAACTTTGCATGCATTACTGTTTTGTATATGGCTTTAATTTTCAGTTTATGAACATGGTTTGGAAATTACCTTTTTAATGGAGAAGTATCTGTTCTCAATGTTATTACCATAAACTCTTTAATTTACCTGTCAAATAAAAGTTATGCTTTGCTGACCAGTTTTGAGCAGCTCAAGTAATATGTTTACTGCTTATCACATTTTATTTTTGATGTTGGACATATTCCATAGAGAAGTCTTTGTGTTGTACATTATGGTATGTTACTGTGGCATTTGTTACCTCTCAAATATTGCTACTCCACAACATATAAAATCTTTAATTTATATTGTGATCTGATAAACAAACACTTTCCAGAAGACTTCCATTTGAAGTGACTTTAAATCTTAAATTAAAGATCATATGACTTTAAACTTTTTTTCTTTCGGTATATAATGGTATTGCACGACATTTAAATCTTTATTTCATTGATTAATATCAGATTGATATACTTTAAGCTATACAATACAACTAACTGATAATTATAAAAATTTGCAGTTTTATTGTAATTAATGAAAGATACTATAAATTGTACACCTTTTATTGCGTACCTGGATGCTGAATCATTTAGTAATATGTCTGACTTAGGTAATTATAAATTGAATATATTAAGTAATTTATCAGTACTTCAATTAAGTATCTGATAAGTACTGATAATAAATAAGTACTGTAATCTGGTAGAGAATCATCGTTTGCTTGCCACTCGACAGGTTTTATATGAATATATATTTAATAAGTTATTTGGATGTTCATAACTGTTGTTACCTATATTTTAATTATGTTGCTGAAAGTAAAGTAGCATGCCTGAAACATAAAACTGTTTCTTGTTATTAATTTTTTTAATTTAATGTTCTGGTTGTTTTTAAAATATTTTTTAATTTAAAGTCAAAATATTTTTTATTTATATTTTTTTAAAGTTCATCAATCAGTTTTGCCATAAAATTGAAGGATTTCCTGACATCTTCTTATGTAATGAATAAGATTTCATCAAGTAATTTATCAAATTCTGTTTAGAATAAAATATAAGGTCTCTTTTGTTAGTCAGTCATTCAGAAATTTTCATAAGCTATTACCCCTTAACTACCACGGAAAACTTACAAGAGTCACTCCCCAGTGCCAGCACTTTTTACACAGGCATGTGTAGTTGTGCGATGTATTGGGGGAATAATGCAAGTTTTGCTATCTAAAAACCTGTTTACTTTCACAAAATAAAAAAAAAATTAAAATACAAAAATTAATGTTTAGATTAAAAGTATAATAAAAATGATGTAAGTATAATAAAAATGCTGTTTGTATAATATAAAAGATGCATAATAAAAGAGATCCCCCAAAATGGAGTTTTTATCAATTTATTCTTAGAGTAAAGTGTAATATCAGGTTTCAGTGTTATACCTTGTAAAATCAGTATACCTAAAAAAACATATATTTCGTCTGAATTAGTTGCATGCCACAATTTTGTTCTTTTGCAGGATGTTGGTTCCTATACTGGTCTGCAAAACGGTTAGTTTCAGTAACAATATGAAGCACGAGCAATTAATAAAAAATAATTAAAAAAAGATAAGTGGTTTGGAAAAATATTTGTAAAAAAAGCACCTACTACAAACAGTAAATGAAAGTGTGGAAGATACAGAATTTAAAAAAAAAATATGTTTTACTTAAACAGAAATGTGAGCAATAACCGCACAGTCATTACTTTCATCACTACCTACTGCAAAAAGTACCTACTACAAACAGTAAATGAAAACAGAATGAAAAAAGTACATTTGACTCAAACAGAAACATGAGCAATAACTGTGCAGTCAGTTACTTTCACCTTTTCAGAAACATTCTCATCTTCAATTCCTCTCCCCTCTGAAATTGTATCTTCTTTTGCATACTCTGTCAAGGTCATTGTGGTACTGCAGTCGAAAGCTTTGTGAATAATTTTATTAGTAGCAGGGTAAAGCAAATGATAGTATTTCTGAAGGGTGTATATATATACATATATGCCTGGGGCAGTTAACGCATCAGCTGATCAAGGCATAGATATAAGCCTGCGGCAGTTAACGGGTTAATGACGAGTTTTGTGAGTTAATGGCTACATGTTACTGTATATTAAATAAATGTAAGAAATGAAGTTTTGATTTTTTAGAGTATTTCAGTCAGTATTGTTTGATGTTGAAGGAATAATACCATATGATTATTGTTAAGGATATAAATGCTATAAATATGTAATTGTTTTGTCTGTGCTTTGCTGTAATTAAGTAATTACTTTATGGTTATTATTTGGCATTCTTGTTTCATAAAATTTTTTTAATATAGTTTTGCTTAGTTTAAAATGGTTTCACTTTTTCATTCTTTTCTTCTTTTTTTTTTTTAAAAGGGCAAATGTATACTTGATATATAGAGTAATGATAATTGATGTATTTTTATTATGCAAATTCTGAGGCCCCCCTTCATCTTATGTTAAGAAATCTGCCATATACATGATTCTTGACTTGTGCTACTGAAGATTGCAGTGCTGTTCATCAGGATATAATTTTGTGCGCATGCTGGTGAAATTTAAAAAAAAAAAAAAAAAATCATTTGCATTGTAAATCTTCATTCTAACTATTTAAAAATTAGTTTGGGGCATTTCATTCAAAAAACCCCATTTCTTCACAAAAAGGTACTAAACCAAACCATAAGCTGGCTGGTTCTGCATCATTCTGGAATCATTTGGATTTTCTTTTGGCTCTGTTATCAATCATTATTACAAAAGACTGAGAATTTAAAGCTGTAGTGATTATCTATTTTATATATCTTCTTTCATTGAATGTATGTTCTCTATAATGTGCCTGAATGGCTTAAAACATGTTTGTCAATTTTAGTTTCTTCTTGTAAAGTACATGTGTCTTTTTTGTCCTATATAATTCCTAGCCTTTTGAAATTGAAAACAAAGTATCACAAGGTGCATTATTCATGTTCAGCTCAATTTTAAAATTCACAAGGGTGAAGAAAATCAAGTTTTAAAACTAATGTAAAATTTGAATGGAGAAGAGGCATCTTTTAACTGATGATAGTATCAGTCAATTCATGATCTTACCATACCATAGACAGATCTAATGAACGTCAGTTCACAAATAGTTGTTGACTTTATCACATGATTAAAGTATTTTTTATGTTTGAGGTATTTATATGTATGTGCAGTTAATGTATTAAATAGAGTATCTGGTATGCACTTTTTTCTGAGAAACTATTAATAATATCAGTAAGTATGAACTCAGTTTTTATACTCAGGTTGTTTAGTATAAATGCAGGCAGTCTAAGAGAGAACTAAATTGCTGATGTTTCAGTAGTATTCTGTATTATTAAAACTCCTTTTCTGTGATCTTTTGAAAGAAATTTACAAAAATTTGGTGTTTACTACCATCTTTGAGGAACCTCTATTTATTTCTGTCAAGAAATTGCTTTTTTTTTTTTTTTTTTTTTTTTTTTTTTTTTTTTTATTATTATTATTAGTCTGTAAAAAAATTCTGTGTAGTTTAAAGTAGGAAATAGGCTTTATTATGGTATTGAAAGGGAGTCTTATTCTTTTCATTTTAAACACTACAGCTGCTACTTTATATCCAATAAGTTTATGCTATCCGTATGACTTTCCTTTGAATGTTTAGGAGATGATTCCAGTTCTGTATTTTTATAATTACTAACTGTGACATACGTATTTTATATGAATCTGCCAGCTATCTTTCAACTGTAATTAATACAGTGTCAGTTTAATTATCCAATTTCATTGCTACAGCTGAATAATACTTCATTATTCTATGTCTTTTAGGCCTTTTTTTAGAAATATAATTATCTTTTAATGTTTTGCCATACGTAATTTTACAAACTAGCATAATGAGAAAATGTACAGAAGATAGAACATGTTAAGACAAAACATTGGATGTTTATATCTTAATGTATTGTGATTTGTGCTTTGAATTACTGAGCAGTAAAAAGTGCAAAGCTTGTTATGCAACAAGATATTTCTCATAATCTTATTAACCAATATTTAAAGTTTACTTTGTTTTCAAAATGAAGTTTCCTTCTGTGTATTTTGTAGTATTTGTTTAATGTTTTTCCTTAGACGTGCTGATATGACAAATGCTCTTGTGAGTTCCTATGAAGCATATGATGACTTAATTTTAAAAATAAAGAAAGGACTAGAGTTCTATCAGAAACTTCAAACCAATGTTACTCGTCTTCTTACTCGAATACGAAGTGTCACTAAAGTACAGGATGAAGAAAGATCTCAGATGATAACTGCTGATTTACGGAAAGGTAACTTTATTTCACATTTTCCTGTATTTTATCTGACTACTTACTTATGTAGTTCTTTCATTAGCAGTAATAAGTGGGGCTTTGCTTTATTATTTCTCTGTAATATTTTTTTTTAAAGAGTAATGTCTTTTTCAAGTCTTGGGGGGGGGAGGGGAAACTAAGTTTTTAACTTTATGAAGTTTTTTAATAGAGTCCATATGGTCCTTAAAAGTCCATAGGTATTTTGAAGCAGCTTTCGGTCCTTAAAAATGTGTGGGGTTTTACTTCATCTGGAACTGGTAATGAGTCAAAATCCCTAATAGATGTGAAGTGAATTATGCTGTGAGTAACTGCAAAGACTTAAAAAGGTTTAAACAACCTTTTTATATAAACAGACCTTAGAACATAAACATACTTTCTAGCACTAACAAAATCTGTCACAGATTGTGGTGATGCTACTAAAGAAACATTCAAGTTAAAACATGAAATAGTAGTCGAGGCCTGCATGGTCTAAATATGCTCTAACCGGGCTCAATATTTCTAACTGGACTTTCGAAAACAATTTATTAGCAGTGAGTAACACAAAGCCAAAAATTATAAGTATCAAAGCTGGCAGGAGCTAAACATAGCCTGTACGTGCAGACCTGAAACATGCTCTGTCATACAATACAAAAATCTTAGTTTAAGTACTATCTAACTCATTTATATTCTGGTGAAGAAATGGAAAGGAGAAGTTATAGTGAAGGCTGAAATTATAAAAAAATTTTTTTAGAAAAATAAAATACTTAATTTTGGCCAGAATTTCTTATAGGTCTTTAACCACTTGCGCTAAAAAGACGTTCCACGCACGTCGAGATGCTTTTCTCTCAAACTGCGAGCGACGTGAACACCACATTGATAGGCATTTATAGCAAAAATGAAAATAATGTAATGCACACGTCGCCTAAAAACGAGATTGTTTATTTCTCGAGTTACAGCTCTGGATTGCACTCGCAGATGTGGACCGGCATAAATGAGACACTTTACCGCTTGTTATATTGTAGTGCACGGCACTGCAACCATGAAGTTTAGTCGTAGCGCAAGTGGTTAATTCTGTTCATTTGACATTTTTTTTTCTTATGACCTGCCATTTAAATTGTGAATTAACATTTGGCTGAATATGAAATTCAAATTGCGGGAATGGTAAAGCCATCTCAGCTTTTTGTTGTAAACAACAAGGAACAGTCAACAAATCTGGAATGAAGTTGAGCATAGACATGGTGCTAGATTGGTTGTTCATCAAATCTTTCAAAGCAAGTACAGTCAAAAGTCGTTAATTCGGACACCCATAATCCGGACCTCAAAGCTAAAAACTTTCTGCGCATGCGCCGCGTTGACACATGCGCATAGGCGTTTACGCGTGCGAGTAAGACCTTTACACGCACGCGCAGAATACGTTTTCGCGTGCGCATTTAATGTATAACGGACGGTATAAGCTAAAATTATACAAGTATCTATTTCAGTTAATGTTGATGCTTGCGTTATTCCTTAATCTTCGAATTGGATGCAGCTTTTTATTTTTTTGCAGACTGTAAGAGCAATTTTATAAAAGTAAACTTGAACTTTCGATTATGTCAATTTCCGATTCTGGAGCTCCCAAAGGATCTACAAAACGAAAGTATGTCTCGATGTCCATCAAACAAAAAGTGGAATTGCTGCAAAAAATGGATAAAGCCATGAAGAAAGTAACAGAGAGGTTAGTGAAAATGAAAAAATTCGATTGACAAGTTAGTCGGTAATTCTCGGACACAGCAATTACGGGAACTTGAACAGCGGAAGCTTTTTAACTGAACAAGAAATTATGTCTTTATAGAATTAAAGAGAAAGTATTATCACATAAAACGAAACAACTTTACATTGAAAAAATGTTTAATAAAGTAAACAAATAAATATTAAGCTTTTTTTTGTAAATTTTGATACCCTTTAGATCATAATTGTTCTTTATTTCCTAAAATACGGTTTCATATTTTTAATTTTAGAATTTGTGCATGCCATCTTACGAGATTTAAACTGATGATCTATAATCCGGAAAAATCGATAAGCCGGAATCACCGAAGTCCCGACGAGTCCGGATTAACGACTTTTGACTGTATTTATCAACTAAGATACTATCAATCTGTATTGGGAGGCAGTAAGGGGGTGGATATTGTTAAAACATTTATCGGAATTAGAGCAATCCTAATCTGAGGAAGGTATGTATTTATGTGGAGATTTTTAACTGCACCAGGACCACTAGAAATAATGCATAATCAGTCAACTTTTATGAATTTTTCGTAATTTTTATGAAACTATTTTAGTTTACAATCTTGCATGTGAAATTCTTTCTTACGGATTTTCAGTTTTTGTAAAAGGCTAAACAATGTGCCAGTTTGGTGTATCCCTGTTAAATATGTATATAATTTGTGTATTCTTGGAAAATGTGAAACCTTTTATTTACTGTTTCAATTTGCCCCCTTTAATGTATAAAAAAAACAACATTTTGGGAGTTTTTTTTTTTTTTTTTTTTTTTTTTTTTTTTTTTTTTTTGTGCATTGCTAAATTTTCTAACTTAGCATTTTGCCAATTAAGTTGGTCTGCAAAAGTTTTGATTCAGAAGTTCGCAAATTTTTGCAAATTTTCTTTTACTTTTCTCCATTTTTCATCACCATTTTCTTTTTTAAAAAATATATTAATAGTTTTAAGATATCATTAAAATGACATTAATATAAGGTGTACTGAAAAATTCTGTCTATCTGTGATGTAAAAGAAAATAATACATTTTCATACCTTTAATAATATTTATTGTACAGTATAATTTCCATTGTTACTTATGGCATCTTTTCAGTATGATGGTAATTTGTAGATAAAATTTTTGAAAAATGCTCTTGTCCTTTGAGAACTTTGTAGAACTTTTTTAGTACTTGGCTGGCATCTGCTTCTTTCTGTTTTGAAATTTTTCCCCTTCAAAATATTTCAAAAGGAGAGAAACAAGTGATAATTGGAGACTAATGTGTTGGGTGCGATAGAATTTCCCAGCTTATTTTTTTCTGCGATTTTCTAACGAGTCACCAAAGTAGCATGTGGTCTGGGATTATCATGAAGGAGTATGATGTGCTTCCTATTAAACATCTATGGCCTCTTTATTTGGGGGGGGGATACTTTGTTTAAATTATCCATTTCCTGGGAGTTTCTCCCTGAATTGAGCTTTTCTTTAGGTTTCAAAAGCTTGTAATGTATTGGTCCTTGGATGTCTCACCACATTCACAGTGTTCTCTTATTCAGGCTCAAACTAGGTTCAGAAGTGGAGGTGGAAAAGTTGTCCGGATTCACAGTATGCTCTTTTCCTAATGATGCTTTGTAGGTAATCCATTTTTCATTCTCAGTTATCACCCAGTCCAAAAAGGATTTGTTTTTGTTCTTAGCAAGCAGAGATCATGGTAATGTTTCTCACTTAACTTATGAGGCACTCATCTGGAATATTTATAGTTTCCTAATAATGTCCAAAATGGTTTTTTTGAGCTGGATTAAGCTTTTCGGAAATCTTTGATGACAAATTAAAAAGCAGATTTTGCTCTTGTTAAATTAGTCTTGACAATATTGTCATCGATCAAAGTTGACCATCCAGAGCGGGACTTATCATTAAGGGGTTGAAATCACCTGCTTCAAATTTTTCAAATCTTGTACATTCTATCCAAAATTGCATCTTTTGCAAAAACTGTCACTACATTTTGGCATACTTCTCTAGCATTTATTGCTTGTTGGAATTTGTACAAAATACAGTGTCAAAATGAACAAATGAACTTTTTCGATCGCCATGTTTACATGATCACATCTTGCATAATAATGGCTTAAGGCATCTTTATTTCAGTTAATTTAGAAGAGCAGATGTTTATAAGTGCAGTGATAAAGAGAGACAAACATATATGTCTCAAATTAACACCTGCTTGTTAAAACTTCAAATAACATTATTGGATAGGACTTTCAAGTAAAATTTATGTATTAAGATTATATTTTTTTTAGAAAAATAAAATAAAAATCTCCACTACATCATATTTTGAAGTGCCATTACTTTTCATATCGGAGACTTATGAATGTCTTGATTCTGAAAAGTAAACTTGGCGATGAATACTGTAATAAAGCACAATTTTCTAATCACCTTTTTAGTAAAAGCAAAAATCTGTCGTGATTATTTTAAAGAATAAAGAAAACAAAAATAATTATTTTACAAGTTTTTGGATAGTTTGTTTTTATTTATTATTTTTTAAATTTTAGTTTTTATGAATGTTTAGAATATTCAGATATGTGCGAGTTTTCATTGTAAAATTAAGTTTATGCCTTCCACCACCCCCTTTTTTTCAAAAGTCTTGAATTTCACTGTTAAAAAGTTTGCATACATGGCAGTGGTTTTTCCATTGAGGTAATTTTCTTCTCAGGTTATAAACCCTGTACCTTAGAAGGTTCTGGTAATATTTATAGATTCAAAATTGATGGCTAAAAATGCTACGACAAAGGGGAAATTGTATTTCATGGCATTAACATTTAATAAACATGATTTACAGAACAATTTCTCTTATTGTTTAGAGAAAGTTTGGAAAGGGCAATGAAAATTAAGGTTTTTGAAAATTCTACTTTTTATCCAAGAAGTCTTTCTTCTGACACATCTCTCTTTATACTATGTTCTGTTTTCGTGCTTTCTACTGTTTACAAATGGGGAAAAAATGATTCTATGTACTATCAATTCAAAAGATTCATCATAAGGCACCATATATCATTTCATTAAGTTTTCTGGAGATATCAAATAATGTTACGAATTTTGTATATGTGTAAATAATTTTAGAGAAATTATATGTGAAATTGTAGCATCTGTTGTATAATATAACATGAAATGCCTGAAAAAAAGTGAAATTCCACTGGAAAAATAAGATTACAGGAGCAAGTCCATTTAACAGTAAGGAAATGTCTTTGCTGAAATAATGCTAAGTTGGCAATGTTTTTGGCGACTAATTTTGGTCCTCATATAACTGTAATTGGTATTGCAATTGATCTATATATGTAATTCTAACCATATTCGGCCCAGATTGTCTTTAGCCATATATGCTTCCCAGTAATTTTGAGAAATGGAAAATCCTCATCAGCTGAGGAAAAGCTATGTAAGACCGGAGAGAGCATCAGCTCTCAGTTGTTTAATTTAGAGTGGACTTTGGAATTTTGAGGGATCTGTGCAAACTTTGCTCTTTTAGATGTGTTTTTCATTGCATTTGTGTAATATTCTTAATAATTTGAATTGGTAATTACTGATTGTGCTCTGTCTGACTGAGAAGAGTTGTACGAGTACTTTTTTGGAAAGTTCTAGAAATGTAAAGTGTTGCTTTTGGAAAAATAAATTTGATCAAGCTCTCATCAGTTCTGTGTGCATTCAGCCCATGATGAACCTGTATGCATGCAATAATATTGTTATGATGTAGTTCCTTATTATTACATCTCTCATTTTTTTTAATGCCAAGTTGATACTAGGATTATTACCAAATTTATGTTACTTCTCGCATGTACTTTATGGCTTACATATTTCCACAATTTATTATACCAATTATTTCTTGTGCCAAAAAAAAACTTTCACCATGTGAACTCTGCAACTCTGCGTAAGTAAGACCCATGATAATGATGAACTCTGCCTGATATTTATTTTGGTAGCATCACAGTCTTTCAATATTTTATGTATGAACAGCTGTTACAGATCAACAAAATGACATTTGTGATTCACTGTTCAATGCCCCTAATATGTTTTTCCAGTTCCTATGTTTTATATGTTCAACAACAGTCTAAATAAATTAGTTATCAATCCCTCTTTTAAATGCTGATTTTGGAAGAACCTGGCCAGCTTTGTTTTTCTCTGTTAAGAACAGATTTTCATTTATGTCAATTTTTTCTGGGCCACCTGTTTGCTTATTTGTTTATCTATAGTATATAACCGACTCATTAAACTGTTCTAACCAGTAATTGTATTTCCATAAAGACTTAGTTTTTTCCTCCCGCCACTTAATTGATGTCAGAAAGTAATGGGCTTTAATGTATTCATTTCCCCATTACCTGATAGATCCTGAATTCTTTTAATTGATTGCTAAAAATTTTAACTAAGTCCATAATTTTCATGTACAGGAATGTGTACAAACTGTTATAGTGTTATTCATTCAGTAATACACAGCACGTGAAAATTTATTCAACATTATGCAACCAGGAAAGCATTTATTACCTTTACAGAGTGTGAAGTGAAGACAAGCAGTAACATTATATTTCATTTTCTTTAGAACAGTGTTTCTAAACTACAGTAGGATGTTTCTAAATGAATTATACAAAAATTAGACATTTCACATGCAAACAAAAGCATAAAATAAATGCATTAAATAAACTTGAGTTCATAATATTAACACAAACCAGCTAATCATACATGTTGAATACAAACAATTATTTCTAGAATTGTTAATTCTTTTTTTATACATGGAAAGGCATGTAGTTTCCCTATATGTTAAAATGAATAGTAATGCAATTATAATAATTGTTTTTAATAATTTAATTAACATAACATAACTGTATTAACCTAGGAGCGTGCCCGGCTCGTATTTCTTAAAGAAAAACCTGTTACTCTTCAGGTAAAAGTATTACATTTATTCCAAAATTTATGTCAACTAAAAATATGGCAAATATAAAAATTATTTAAAAATTAATCTATTAATATTTTTTACGAAATAATTTTTTTAAAGGAATAGAAACGTAAATAATAGAGAAAAAAAATATTTTAATATCTGAAATTCTGTCGTTTTTATGACTACCATTTTGAGTGTGAATATCATTTGGAGGAATATTTTTGGCAATTCACTGACATATATGTTATCTTTGATGGTTCATGGTTTAATGTTTCTATTTCTAATATAAATGAGGGGGTACCGAGTTCTAAGCATTTCGAATTCATTTTTCTAATAAAGAACTCTTAAACAACATTTCGCTTTTGGGATTGATTCTTTTATAAACGGCTCTAATTTGGCAAACTTGTACATTTGGCGATTTAGGATCATTTTCTATAGAAAATTTTCATTCCGAGATCTGAGAATTTGACCAATTTTTTTAAACCCATAACATTATAAATTCATTAAATAATGGTATATATTGAAATTATATATAAACATAAAACATAAAAAACTTCTTTTTCTCTCATATATAAGTTCTTTGGATTATTATACAATATTATAATCTGATAATTATGGAATTGCTATAAGCATAATTATAAACGTCTTAGCAAGAGCCAAATTAGCTATATAATTATTAAATGCTTCTTTTTAATTTTTTCATGTAGGTTTTTTTTTCATGCACTTGTCTTGGAAATTCAAATTCTCAGAATATGCATCAGTTTCTCATAAAATTATTTTACACTTTTTCCCTCCTTCTTTTTCTAAAATATTTCTGCTTTTTGCTGTTACTTACGTTTTGCTGTATAGTAATGTGGTATAGTCCCACTACACTTGTTTATTTTTTCGTTAATATTTCAAATAGTAAAAGTAAATAGAACACATAGTCTAACAGTTAAATAGTATATCAACATTTGATTGAGATCTATCTATAGATAAAATTATAGAGTTATACTAGGTATAATATAGTAGGCTAACATCATAATTTATAACAGTTATAAACTTCCTTGAGATAAGTTTATTATATGAATCTGTAGCTTCTTCCTCTTCTTTTCCCTTTTTTACTAGATCATTATTATGCAAGGTTTGTAAGATACTAGATAATAGTTAGATGAATTGCAGCTTCAAAATGATTTGACATTAATTCGTTATTGCTCACATAAATTTTTTGCCTTGAAATAGTATGGATGTATTTCTATTTATTTTTTAATGCTTTGGTAATTGCAAAACGAAGGAAAGCATTGATATTTAATTTAGGACTTTAATAGATTGACGTTGTTAACGGACAGAGTAATTTCCGCATCCATGCTCGAGTTGAGATGTTTATTCAAAGAAGTATGTCGGAAAGGCCCATGTCCCTAAAAACGGTTTTATAACAGTGACCAGTGTCCATGCATATTTACTGAGGAGCTATTTGAGTATTGTCTTCCTGTATTATTTTTTCCACTCTTCTTCCCACTTTGGAGGCTGATTTATGTAGATATTTCTTGAGTATGATTGCGACAGGAGATTTCTTGAAGTGATAGTAGTGTTGTAGTAGCTGATTTGGCTGCTGCATCGTCTTCTTCTTACCAAGAACTCCGACGTAACCTTTATCAATAATGTTTGGTGATATTTGATATGGATAATTTTGTTAAAATATCTTGATTGTTTCAAATGTGTTTTGGATTTTTGAGCTAGTATGCTGATTGACTATCTGAATAAATATATTGATTTTTTGTAAATGTATCGCTTGAGTATTCTGTTTGCCATTCTAAGCGAGTCATTTGCTCCAAGACAGTAGCCGGGGGAGTCGATGTTGGAGAGTTATTTTTCGATCTTTATTGTATTATACTGCCACAGCCTAACTCCTAAGTCCATTTCATCCATCTGTAATATTATTGTGGAGATCTATGACTGGTTGGATGTTTTATTGTGGTTATTTGTAGTATTAAGGCAGGATCCTTTGTGAGTTGACTGAGATTTCAAATTGTTGAATTAATAGTTCATCAGAATATGCAGATTTTTTTAATTGAGAATGTGGCTTTGCATGTTCGTTTGTGCTAAGGTAGAAGAGGTCTATTCCTGAAAGTACACATAGGCAGCATTTGATGTTGTTTATAGCATTTTTGTGATGAGGAGAAGGAATTGACTTTGTATGGCGTCTAGTTCTAGTTCTATGTCATCACTAACTCAAACTCTTGATAAGACAAGAAAACATTTTAGGCATACTTTTGGGAAATTTATAAGCGGTGCGCTGTGCCCACAGATCCCGCACATTACATGAGATGCTTTGAACACCACAAAAATAAGACTATAAAAGCACGAATGTCAATAGTGTGACGAGCATCTCTTTCTCTTTGAAAGTTGTCAGAAATAGATGCATTATAAATATTTGTATAACTGACAACTTTCAGCAACATTTGTTCACTTAGTAAATGTTCTCACGATTCATTTGGAGTCTGCACATATTTTGCCGTACCGATGCTTCCAGGCAATTTAGTAATAATGTTATGAGCAGGTGTTCTAACATCAGCTTTATGCTTTTCTTTTAACCATTTGGTTTTTTTTCTCTCTTCCTATAAAGCAATAAATGTCATTCTCAATTTTGTTTTCAGAATCCATCTTGATTTCTGAATCAGTATCTATGAGAACTAAAAACTTCATTATCACTTTCATCATCAGTTTCATCAATGGATTCCTCACCAGTTGATACATCTTCTAATAATTTTCGCAAACGTAACATTTCTTCCTTATAGGATAAATTATGCAACATGTGTGCAGCTTTCTGTACTACCAGAAATGAACTACTTTACAGCAAAGTGAATAGGTGCGCTGGGTCTAAAAGAACCTATCCGATCAAAACAAAACTTTGAATCAAATTTCCAGCAAAAAACTCAGGAAACACAAAGAGGGTGACCTTGGAGGAGACTACACAGAACCACAATCACTTTGGAAAAATAGGGGTGCTTTCAGAAGGGTTTATTTAATCGGATGGGTCTATTGGACCCAGCGCGCATGCTCGCAGGTTAAAAATGTATCTTCCTCAAAATTTCATAATGAAATGATATTGATGATATCACTTATAGTTGTTTAATGTATCTAGTTCCAAAATATCAAATTAATTCATTTTAGACATTGTTCCTTTTTGTGCAGATTTCCATGCTCTTTTTTTGTGTGTGGGGGGGAGGGGGGATTTCTAGGATTCTAGGATTTTTCTTCCATATTTCACTGTAATCTCATATCTCCAGTATAATTATATAAATTATGTTCTTACACTAACATTCTTTATTTAGGATCAAAAATGTCACAAAATACAAGTGTTAACGTGTCTTCAGAGCAGCGTGTTCCAAAATTAAAAGACTATTTGCAACATTTCGCAAAACGAGGAACAGTTAGTTCGATGCCTGGTGTGCCTTATAATGGCTACCCATCAACTCAAGTTCAGTCAGTGCCATCAGTAACTCCTCAATTTGTAACAGAACCCATGCGGCAAGCTACGTTAGGTGGACCTGTGAGTGCAGAATTTGATAGAAAATTAAAGCCTGCAATGTTAGACAGTACCCGGAAAGATGAGAATTTGGAAATATCTTCTATAGGTGTTCGCCCTACTCCTGTTGGATCTGAACAAACATCTATTCCTGCAATGTGTACCACTGCACTCTCAAGTGCTGATGTCGATCAAAGTTCTGCACAGCCTCAGCACTGGCCTCAGGCTATGACACCATCAGCTACATTTAGTGGTTATGGCACAGCTAATATACCATATCAATATCCAGCTGTAACAAACTCTCACTCCCAGTTACCATCTAGTGCTACATTTACTAGTTTGAGAGATGCAAATTTGCAGGCTTCCCAAACATATAGCAGTATGCCTTTATCTAGTAATAACAACTCTGCAAGTCTTTACTATAATGATAAACTGAATTTTGCATCACCTCAGCTGCAAGGCAGTGTACCTGCAGCAGTGGCTTCAAGTGCAGAAAGTTCAAATACAGTTGCTGGATCCATTTTCCAGTCAATACAAACCTCTGTAGCTTATCCTTACAATAATAATATGCCTGCATCTACTGCAGGTCCTAGTTCTAATGTTTCACATACTAGTAGGGAATCAGTGAGTTATTCAGCTACTAATATTGGACAAAAATGTGATAATTTTGCCACTATTAGGAATCCTGTTAGGGCCTCAGTGCCTCAATATGGTGGTTTTAGTCAGTTCAATAATAATGTCCCGTCTGTTGCAAGTTCAAATATGCCAACTTTTGGACAGCATGTTGTTTCTCCCAACAGCACTGCCTCACAGATTAGTTATCAACATCAAGTATATCCATTTGCAGAGCAGTCAAAATTATTTCATCCACCAGCAGGACAGCAAAATCAATATCATTTACCACAAGGGAATCAGTTTACTCCACCACCAGGATATATTTTACCATCTTCAACTTACGATCCAAGAATTCAAGCCAGTGCAAGCTATGATCCAAGGATCCAGACAGGTGTTAATAATTACCACCCTTCTGTGCAGTATTACCATGCATCTGGGAATGTAGTTCAGGCTGGACAGTCAAGTGTTACTGCTTCTATGGACACGAGGACAAGCACATTCAATTCAGTAAATCCATATTCATTTGCTAGGATTCCTTCTAGCAGTCAGCCACAGCATATTCCAAGTAGTCATGTGATGAACTCTTCAGATGGTAAAATGTACATGACTCCTAATGCTGTTGTTACTAATTCTCAAATATCTTCTTCTGTTAAGACTATTCCACAAACTAGTTTTAGCTCAATGAATGCTGCTGTCCCTCCTGGTACTACTATGTACAGTTCAGTGGCTCCTAATTCATTCCAACCTACAATAGAAAATGCATCAGTGGCCTATCCTGGGGGACAGTCTACCTATCAAAATGTTCCTTCATCACTTAATCAGTTTTCTTCTCCAGTCAGTCAGCAGCCTTCAGCCTCAGCTTATTCAGGAACTGTGATGAACACTCCTGGAAGTATTGCATCTCAGCATCTTGCCACACAACAGTCGAATGTTTCATCTACTTTGCAGAGTGCACCACTTCCTTATTCTGGTAATGCATATGCTACTCAGCAACCTTTTCCGCCTGCTGTTGATCCACTAAGCAACTGCAGCATGGCAAGTGCTAATGGGATTTATAACTCTAATAATAGTATACCTAATCAGCAACTTCCTATTCCAATAGAACCAATACCTCTTGTGCCTAGCCCACCTGTTCAGCCTGCTGCCATAGCTGAAATTTCTCAGGTTGCTGAATTGAAGAGTCCTGCTCCAGTTGTTCTGAGCTCAACTTATACAGAGTCACAGTTAAAAAGTGTTTCTGACAATATCACACAACAGCCAAAACCTAACACAGCTGATGCCACAGAAGCTAAAATAGAGCTTACAGCACAATCACCTGTTCATGCATTGGAGCCTAAGGTAAGTGTATATTTTTTTAAACATGTACAAAGGGTGTTTCAAACAATGGAATGGCAATAGTAATGTAGCACTGTCTCTCATAATATATCATGACTTGAAATAGAGCTTTAGATATTTAATAAAATGTTATTATATATTTATTTAAGTAAATATTTGACTATATTAAATATGTTATTATAAATATATTATTAATAGACTAAACTTATTTAAAATTAATATTATTCAATAGCTAAGATATTTAGATATAGCCCAAGCTTTAGATATTTCTATTGTCATTATGTATCAAGTGGCTAATTTATTATGAATACTCAATAATTTTATGCATATATCACTTTTTTGTCACTGGTAAGTAATTTGGAAAGAGATTGCTAAGCAACTGTAAAGACATTGAAGTGTATTCCTTGTAAAATGTAAATGAATGATTAAAAAACATGTTATAATTCATAAAATTACTAACACAACAACCTTGATTTTGGCATAGAATTTAAGTGAAGCTCTCAAAATGATGTGATCATGACTTAAATCGACGCCAAACTCAAGGTTGTTGAGTTGTTAATTTTATATTTTACTTGGTATGTTTTTCTTCTGCTTTCATATTGTAATTCACTGTACACAATGTGATTATTATTCCTTTAAGCAAATTAATTAGTGTCAGCAAAATAGCTGGTTTATGAAATGAATGAGCAGTTATTATTTATGTGTACAGATAGTGGATAACCTGTAAAAAAATGATCGTGTTCAATTCTGAATGTGAGGCTTATGGTTATTTTCATTTTTTGGATGCTTATGCTGAAAGGTAAATTTCCAAACTTAGTTAAACTTCCAAACTTATTTTAGTGCTATAAAAGAGTACCAATACATAAAATTAGTATATTATCATAATATCTTTATTCCAAATGGTCATAATACTCTGAAAGTTTACTACTTAAAAGTTTCTGAAAGTTTACTACCTGATAGTAAATTCAGCATAAGTGGTTATGCTTTGACTGACTTGAAATTCTGCTTGAAGGTAATCAATTTGGATATGTATTCACAATTAATTAAAATTACAATAAATAAAATTCTATACTATATGTGTTTTAATCATTTATATCTCTCTATGTATATATTTAAACAAATTTAAATTCTTAACAAATACGTATAAAAGTAAAAATAAAAAGTAAAAAGCAAATTAATTCTAAAAAAAGGAAAAAAGCCAAAATAATTTAAAATATTTAAAAATATGCAAACATTAAAGATTTAATTCTCTATTTAATTAACTAATCTACAATATCATTAAATTCAGAGCATAACAATCGTCAAAATTACCATGAAAATACATCTACATTTTAATAAATTAAAATTAATTAAACATTTTTTTTTAAAATGCATAGTGATGATCGTAGAGTAGGCGGAAAGACTTATCAAGGGGAAGTGTCTCAAACTAACTCCAATCATTCAAAGGTCACCTCTCCATCAATCATCTTCAACTCTCTCAATCATCAACTCTCAATCATCATCAACTCTACAATCATCACTCTCAATCATTCATGGTTGGAGGCACTCCCTTGAGAATCTGTCTCTGCCTACTCTAACATCATTCACATAGCATTTTTTAAAAAAATGTTTAATTTATTTTATTTATTAATTAGTAGATTATTATGGATATTTTTTGCACTGATTTGCTATGCTTCGAATTTAAATGTTATGTAGATTAGTTCGAGAATAAATCTTTTACAGTTGCTAATTTTTAAATTATTTTGGCTGGTTCCATTTTAATTTGCTTTTTACTTTTTATTTTTTTACTTTTTTACTTTATACGTATTTTGTTAAGAATTTTAAATTTAATCCTTCCTTGAGCAATGGTGCAAAAGATATTAATTAAATTTAATTTTTTTAATTAAACTCAATTTATTCTTATGAAACAATCTCTATATACATACATACATACACACACACAGGCATCATGTTGCATATATTTAAAAAAGTGTGAGCTGTGTGGACAAATAAAACTTTTCGCGGAAGGAATATGACCATTGGTGATGTTCATAAAAGTTTTGCAGTTGAGATTCCTATGTTCAATTAAATGGTCAAGCACACTGCAAGAGAATAGGTATCCTTCCTCTATTGTAATTTCAACATAAATCTTACTTACTTGTGAACAGTATATTGAATCATTCAAAATGCTTTCCTGTTTGCATTGCTGATGACTCCTCTTCAGCCAAGATCTTCAGATGGTTTTGGTACTTAAATCAATGAAAACCTGGTCATACAGTTGCTTCATAGTGTTTGCTACATAGTAGTTGTAGATTT